GAAGAGACCGCTGGGGAGACCTAGACGTAGATGGGAGGATAATCTCAGGCGGGATCTATGAGAGATAGGAGTTGAAGGAGACATGGACCGGTGGAGGGCTTTGGTTAATTCGGTGATGAACCTTCGGGTTCGGTAAGCCATCTAGTTAGTTAGTTAGTTAGTTATTTTCCTGATGGTTACATGTATACTTTGTTTGGTGGAGTTGATCCCCCTAATTTAGTGAAAATCACTTAATGTATGAGTAGCTGTTAAATTAGAGAGATCAACTCAGCATACGTGATGAACATTGTGGGGTTTCTCAGGGGTTCATAGGCTGTTTGTGTCTACAGAGTAAATTTTTATTGTACAATTTGACAGTCAAAGTGTTTTGATGGAGAAACTTAATGGCATAGTGTGCAGTCTGAAGTGCTCTTTTCAATTGGTTGCATATGGTCCATGGATTCAAAGTAATACTTTAGAGTAAGTGTCCAGCACACACACTTCTTTATTCAGTATGATTTTTAATGCCTAATTCTGTTGTTAAATTCATACAGGGATCTGAATGAGGCATCTTTGCTATGGAATCTCAAAATTCGTTACGACAAGGAGCTCATCTATGTAAGTATAATCATTTGTGTAGTAACTGCAAAATATTTATTTTTAGTTTATTTAATGACTTTTTTCAGTAGCTCAGACTATATATAGTCTTGAATGAGAGGATGATAGTGAATAATGAATTGGAAAGGATGTGGAAAGCAGTAATTGCCTAATTTAAGTTATTCTTTGTTTTAATTTTGTTCACCGTATGTCAAGCAGATATATTGAATTGTTGTGTTAAATGCATTGTTGATTTATTATTTGAATTTATTATAGACCTTAGTTTAGTTCCTGTAACTCCTAAGTGGAGTATAGGGCCTCCTTTCGGACAATTTCTGCTCACTCACTCCTGATTTGACTGCCAGAGCCATCTAGCAGCAAAGCAGTGAATCAGGAATTTTGATTACGAAACGTCTCATATCATGCTCGCAAGGTTCTTTTACATGCCGTAAATATACGACATGGGACCGCCTGCTTTATTTCCCTTCCGAAGGAAGTTGTGCTACTGATTTTTATCACCTATTACAGACCTACACTGGGAGTATTCTTGTGGCTGTCAACCCATATAAGATGTTCGACATCTACGGTCTGGATATGGTAAAGAAATATGAAGGCCAAATTCTTGGAACTTTACCACCGTAAGTAACTTCCTATTTTTAAAGCTTTCTTTGTTATACAAAATGAGTTGAGCCTGTATACAAATAGAATATTGTGCTAATATATCTTGTTTAATTTACATTACAGGCACCTTTTTGCGATAGGATCCTCAGCATATGGCCACATGTCAAAGGAAGGCTCATCTCCTGAGAGTCAGGTAGTGGTGATCTCTGGGGAGAGTGGCTCAGGAAAGACGGAATCAACAAAGCTAGTCATGCAGTATTTGGCAGCAGTGAATAAATCACCTTCTAACCTAATCACCGAACAGATCCTTGAGGCATCTCCTCTGCTGGAAAGTTTTGGCAATGCTAAAACTGTTCGCAATGATAACTCGTCTCGATTTGGGAAATACCTGGAGGTGCACTTCAAAGGGTAAGTTGTGCCTCAGAAAGGTTTGTTGTGAATCCTATACTTCACCATCTACGCAGTACTAACCAGTGAGGTTTATCATGAACATGTTTTCAGATTTTACAAAATTATTAGTGTTTATGTTACAAACATGATCACTTTGCTGTGCAAAAGTGGAGATCCTGATGCAACAGCAGTTGTTTTTTAAATGACCTAAACTCCTAGGAAATGTTTTTTTTGAATGTGAACTTTGAATGGCTTTTAACATACTCTTGTCTGTCACTGCTATTAAAATAAAAATAAGAAATTTTAATGTATATAAGAAAATATGTATTGAAATTTATGCCCATAAATAGATTAAAATGTGACAGTGAAAGTTGTAACTGACTCTGTTAATGGAAGGTTATTCTGAAACATCTGATTGCCATTAGATTTGACAGAGGTTTAGGTCATTATGACAACAAAGGTATTTGTTATGACCAGTATTTTAGTAATTGACGTGTTGCATTTTTTTTGGAAAAAATTAAACTTTCAAAATATTTTTATTTGTTATGACCAGTATTTTAGTGGAAAAAATTAAACTTTCAAAATATTTTGTGCTACTTTCACCTTTAATCTGTTCTTGCATAGTGGCGTTATAATTGGTGCCAAGATCACGGAGTACCTTCTCGAAAAGTCACGTATCGTCACACAAGCTCCAGATGAAAGAAACTATCATGTCTTCTATGAGATGCTGCAAGGTCTTACATCTGAGGCTAAGGAAAAGTATGGACTGTTGTCACCTGACAAGTACTTCTACCTCAATCAGGTATGTTACAAGACTCAAACCACGTAGCATTTCATAATCTTCTGTTACTACTAAGTGACAAGTCTTGAAATTAAATCTGGTTCATAGTTTTATTATAATCACAACAGGGTTTTGCCACTGTTACCATACTTATTTTATAATTGTCCCTTATTCCTGTACAGTTCTTAGTGTGTTTAGAATGAAAGGCTGCAAAAATTACCTTTTTGCTGTTGCCAAGTCTTTCTGTCTATCTGTCCACATGCAACTACTCAAGAACTGCTAATGGATTTCCATTAAATTTGATAATGAGGTTATGTAAGGTTATGTCAGTGTATCAGTGTTGCCAATAGTTATTTTTGTGCAATGGATTTTGACTTAGTGTTGAATGTCTCTGCATTCTGTATGTCTTATTGTATTGATTACTGCAAGCCAAATAGATTTTTAAGATATCTGTGATTTATTTTAAAAACAACAGAATATTGATGTCATAGGGTGGTAATTGTGAAATTGATGGCAAGTTTGATGGAGAAGACTTCCAGTCTCTGCTGTCTGCTATGCAGGTTCTTGGCTTTACCTCTGATGAGCAGGACACAATCTTCAGAATCCTTGCTTCAGGTAAATATTCACAAATTCTGATTGATTATTGTCAAACCATGATGGCTACTTTTGTTCATTTGGTTAGATTTGTATAAAGTTATGAAATGGTGGCAGAAGTGTAATGAATATAGTAATAATGCTCCTCAAGGCTTATAGAAACATATGTAAGACTAAAAATTCAGAATGTTTTGTGAGCGTGTGTGCTTGTTAAATTTTACACACCATCCTTTCTCATATACAGGCCATAATTACTTTTCAGTATTATATTTTCTCTTCATTGTACTAGTACATAACCTTAAAAATTAGAAAAATCATACTCTTTTTTTTAATTATCTGTAAATGTTTCAGATTTAGAAATATCATTCTCTTTTTTTTTAATTATCTGTAAATGTTTCAAATATAAAAATAAACAATTACAGATATTTTTGAATACAGTACAACTTTTAATGAGCATGTAGTAGAGAAAACATAGTTAACCTTAAACTTCCTGAATAATCTGAGACTTTGACACATACATTCTAATTGTAAGAAAGACAGATGACCATAAGATTCAAGAATAGTAAATAACACTTTCATTATTATTTGTTTATTGTTAAGATCTTAATTTTCCAGTTCTTCATCTGGGTAATGTATATTTTCATCGCAAACAACTGAAGCATGGGCAGGAGGGTGTGGAAATTGGTTCAGATGCTGAGATCCGCTGGACTGGTCACCTGCTCCATCTCAATCCAGATGGAATTAAGAGGGCTCTTACCACAAAAATAACAGTATGTTAAATGGAATTATATAATTTTGTGTTAATGACAATGTATTTTACATGTATTTCTGTATAAGACCTGTTGATTTAAGAATGTCAAATAATATACTGGAATGGTGTGTTTAAGAATGGTTTATAAATTTGTGATGAGGTTTTTTAAGTCCAGAAGGTTTTCTGTAAAGTAAATTAATTCCCACAATCTGAATGTATGTTTTGACATATTTTATTTAGAACATCAGAAATCAGTCATTTTAAGGAAAGGGAATTTTTGTGACAAAAGTTAAAAAAATATTTATTTTGGACAGAATTGTTGCAGATTATTACACTGAACTACATGCTACAGTGCTGTACTTTGGTCCATTATACCATCCTTAATTTGAATTTGTTTTTAATTTTTTTATATCTCATTTATCTCTCACTGCAATGGGATATATTTAGATGAATTGTCTTTTTACTAACTTCTAGTTTATGAAAATGTCAGAACTAAAAGGTAATTTATTATTATTTAAATATGCACTCTTCTGAAACAACACAACTTTCTTAAGGAGAAAACATGAAAAAAGGGGCTTCCCTAAGGAGGTATTTTTGTAACGGCTGGTTTATGGCAATTTGCTTTGACGTTTGAACTTGTTGCAGGAGGCTCGAAATGAACGAGTGGTAACTCCGTTGAGCATTGATCAGGCTCTTGATGCACGTGATGCCTTTGCTAAGGCCTTGTATAATGCTCTGTTTTCATGGCTGGTATCTCGCATTAACCAAATAGTGTACAAGGGAACAAAACGTACTGCAGCCATATCAATATTGGACATATTTGGTTTTGAAGATTTTAAGGTTAGTTAATGTTACTGTAGAGAAATGTCTTAGTGTTCCAAGTCCAATATTCCACAGAAACCTTAAATGGAGGTTTCATTGCAATTTGAAAACTTTTTATGAAAACTGATGTGTTGCAATTATTTCCACTGTCACCTTCCACGATGTTCAATTCATGTATGTTCTTTATGTAGGAGAACAGCTTTGAGCAACTTTGTATAAATTACGCCAATGAAAATCTTCAGTTCTACTTCAATAAACATATTTTCAAACTGGAGCAGCAGGAGTATGCCAAGGAGAAGATTGAATGGCAGACCATCAGCTATACAGTAAGTAACACTGAAGATCCAGTAACCTAGAAAATTATTCATTACTCTGTAATATTGTGAAATCCACTTTTTTGTTACAAAATTCTCACTGTATTGTGTATTTGTATTCATTGGTCAAGCCATATCATATGAGTATTTTTATCAATGCAATTACAGGTACACTTGGAGGTCATACGAGTATTTTCATCAATGCAATTACAGGTACACTTGGAGGAAGATGAATAAATGCAACTGTGAGCTGGATGGCTATGGTTCGATTCCCAGCAGGGATGGATTTTTTATTCTTATAGCTATGTCCAGACTTGCTTTAGAGCCCACACAGCATCCTGTTCAATAGGTTCTGCAGGTCCTGTTCCAAGGGCATGAAGCTGACCACTCACGAGCTTAACCCCTGCTTTTCCGATGTCTTCGTGGCATTGTATGTTTTAACAATCCTGTGTAACAAAATGATGCACAGTCGTATAGTCTGAAATTTTGTAATTGCTTTGCAGGACAATATGCCTGTGATTCATCTCATTGCCAAGAAGCCTGTGGGTATCCTCCACCTCTTAGATGATGAATCGAATTTTCCCAAAGCAACAGATTTGTCATTCCTTGAGAAGTGCCATTATAACCATGCCCTGGACGAGCTGTATTCTAGACCTCGTATGTCCAGCATGGAATTTGCCGTCAAACACTATGCTGGACAGGTCTGGTACAGTGTTGATGGTTTTTTGGACAAGAACAGGGACACACTGCGACAAGATGTTGTTGACTTGCTTATCAGCAGTAAAATTCAGGTTGGTAATTACTTGCATATTCTGCTCATTACCACCAAATACAAGATCACAGGTAATGTAAAGTGGATTAGAACTACTAAAATCCTGGCACAATTTGCTGCATTATTATAATACTTATTTAAGTGCTTAGAAGACAAGAGTGATATTTAACCAGCAGTAGATTATACTACCTGTTGTTTTCTATAGCTATTAAGCTTGTTTTTGCCTGCTAAGGGAAGAAAAATGTCCATTTGTTTTAGAAACTTCTTATAATTTTGGTGTTCAATGGTACATAGAAATATAAATCCTCTATCTTAGTTCCTCTCGTTGCCATCACTGGTTGTTAAACATGCGTTACTAACTTCATGGAACAGAGTTCACCTTCAGGAGCTAAAGTCACTTTGCTAGGACAGGATGCTAGGAGAATATCTTGGCCTATGAGGGGGGAAGTAAGAAGTGTATGGGGAAAATCACATGAAGAGCTTTACGAATTATACTCTTCAAATATTGTTCTGGTTATCAAATTTAGAGTGTTGAGATGGATAGGACAGAACATGCAGATTTTAGTAAGAAAACCTGAAGGAAAGAGACTACTTGGTGGACCTATGCATAGATGGAATGATAATATTAACATTGATTTTAAGAATATATTGTGAAGGTGTGCACTGGATTTATCTGGCTCAGAATAAGGTGTAATGACCAGCTGTTTTGAACCTGGTAATAAACCTATAGATTCCATAAAGACAAGTCATATCTTAAGTAGCTGATTGGCTGTTTATTTTTTGAGGACTCTATGGAGTCAGTTCCAGTAATGTGCGTATTAACGTAGAAATGTGTCCGAGTGAAAAGTCTTAATTTATAATATAGGATAATATTAAACATGAATATTTCTGAGTTCAGACATTTGGAGGCATGATATTAATTTTGTGTGACAGTTAAAACTGTATGGTTTATTGGTATTAGTTTTATGATGCTGGAGTATAAATCTTTTGTATATCAGATGGTGAGTAAGATGTTCCAACATGTTCGATCCAGTCATGAGGCAGCCAAGACAATCAATAAGGCCAATGGACGGTTTGTAACAATGAAACCTCGGACACCAACAGTTGCTGCTCGCTTCCATGACTCGCTACAACACCTGCTGGAATCTATGTCTAAGTAAGATGGTTTTTGGACTTGTAAGGACAGTTTGCTAGACAAGGTATAAATTAGAGCAGGGTATATTAGTAGAAAGTTTACTTTTTCATTATGAACTTGACACATCTCCTTTTGCCATACACTTATAGGAAGCCCATTTAAATTTAACAGGGAATGATTTTTTTCGTATCTTAATCCTTCACTCTCTTTCTTCCTCTAATTTATCACTTCTCTACCTTTATCTACTTCTCTTCTTTCTCCCATATTTCTTTTCAGTCTCTTCCATATATCACTGTTATGAGTTGTTCTCACCCTACCTTGGTGCTGTATTCCTGTTTATAGCTCACTCATCACATCACTTTGTCTATTTTAATTTTTTTAAATTATTATTGTTAATACCTGTTAAAGTTCAATATCTCTTTAATTTTTTAAAATTATTAATGTTAATACCTGTTAAAGTTCAATATCTGTCACACAGAACTTACTCCTTTAAAACTGTTCTATTCCATGTCTTATTGTGAAGTCTTGTGAAATTTGTTGTTCTTCCAGTCTCGTTTTAATTATTGTGGATGTTATTGTATTTTTCAGGTGCAATCCGTGGTTTGTTCGCTGTATCAAACCCAATTCAGATAAGGCACCAATGAAATTCGATATGCCAATAGTTCTAGAACAGCTACGATACACAGGAATGCTGGAGACAATACGCATTCGCAAGATGGGTTACCCTGTCCGATTACGCTTCTCTCAGTTTGTGGAAAGGTTTCGTTATCTACTGCCTCAACGAGTGGGAGGTCTCACAACAAGAGGGACTCCATATAGGTATGATGTGAAGTTGAAACATATATTAATATATTTCTTGAATATACTGCATTTTTACCTGAGTTCTTATATTGTGTTTCTCCTTGTCTTCTGCTCTTTCACATAGAGAACAAAGTTTACATTTGACGAGAAGTATAAAATACAGGAGTTGGTTAAATGCATGTCTGATAACTTGATAGAGAAGTATAAAATATAGGAGATGGTTAAATGCATGTCTGATAACTTGATACTTATGTCACATATCTATTTACATAATTTTTCTTTCCTACAAGATTTTTGTTTGCCATGTTACTGTTAAATTGATGAAACTCTGACTTAACATTATTTGGTTATGGTTGTGCTATTGAAACTGTCACAACAGGGAATTGTGTCGTGTGATCCTGTCCTCATGCTGCCCAGAAGCTGAAACCAATGGTGACTATCAGCTTGGCACTACAAGGGTCTTTCTCAGAGAGTGGTTAGAACGGGAACTGGAACGTGAACGTGCCAGAGTGGTACGGGCTGCAGCTGTTATCCTGCAGAAGACAGTAAGAGGTTACTTGGCACGTCGGAGGTATCGTGCTACACGCAAGGCTGCACTTACACTGCAAGCCCATGTGAGAGGATGGGCTGCCCGCAAGAGGTACCGGGCTGTGAGGACAGGTGTAGTGAGAGTGCAAGCTAACTTCAGGGCCATGAGGCAGAGGAAGCGCTACTTGGAACTCAAGGTGAGTGAGTGAGTGAGTATTGTATCATGAAAGAGTCAGGTAGGAGGCTCATGAATAAAAATGCATATGATATGTCAGATATAAAACTTGGTTGCTTCAGCTGTTACACTGTAAAGAGTAATGTGAGTTTTGCTGAATGGTTTGTATTGTTTGGAGTGTTTTAGCCATTTGTAACTGATTCTTTTGTTTATTTTTTTCTGAGTGGTGAGCAGGGTGTAGATAGATGAACATATATATGGAAAGTCTTTCTGTTACAGGACAGGGTTGTGTTGAAACTCCACATTGTTCTTTCCTTAAACTGTTACTGCTAGTTGCCTTTTTCGTTGTAAATTAAAGTCAAAGTGAATAGTTAATTTGTGCTGTGCTTTTTAAAACTGTTTAGTATACTTATTTTTATCCAAGTAACTTACAAATTCTGGATTTATTTCCAGTGCAATTAATTATAGTTCAAACTTTAGTGACTTTTTAAGGAGAATTTTGTTTCATTCTTAGCTAGAGATCATAAATAAAATGTAACATATTCACCTGGTGTTTTGCTATAATACCACATGTTTTTATATACCCCATGCCTTTGAATAAGTAATCAGTTTGTTTGTCTATATGTTATATAAAGGTGTGTGGAGTGTTAAAGAAAGTACAATATGGTAACAGGTGTGCATAGCTTGAGAAAGATGCTTTAAACTGCACACAATTAGAAAATATTCAGCACAGAACTAGAACTGAATAATTGTGGATACAGAATTTTTCAATGTCATGTTTTCTTGTTATTAGGAGGAACTGAAACGCCGGGCAGAAGTAGAGAAACTGGCTCGGGAGCGGGCAAAGGCCAAGGCCCAACGGGAAGAACAGGAAAGGGCTTCGCGTGCCGTGGCTGGTGTCAACCATCTTGAAATACCAGCTGAGTTGGCTTTTATCTTCAGTAAGCTTGATGGTAAGTGTTGCTGTTTTGTTCATATTTCCATATGTGATTACATGCAATATAGAAGTGGAATGAGCAGAAGATGTATTTATAATAAAGGTAACTACTTTGATATGGAGTCAAAGATAATTTTTAACCGCAAGTAAGGAATAACTCAGTTTACCACATCCAACTGATTAGGTTTCTTCTAAAGGAACGCATGGACGAAGTCCAAAAGAAAAAGAAGTAATACAAGGCTGTCATGGAAGATGTTCAGAGAAGAACAAATTTGTAATTTGAAAATAAAACATTATTTGAATAAATTAATTAACTTTTGGGAACCTGTAATACTTATATAAGCAAGGGTTTACAAAATACATATATTGGAAATTAAATAAGATCTTTCATTGAAATGCGTGTTTTGCCGATTTTTTTTTTTTAATTTTGTGCTTAAGATTACATACATACACTTTTTCTTTCTGAATATACTTGGAACTGGTGTTAATTTGTCTCTTGCAGATTGGCAACCAGTCCACTCGGAACGCCATCTAGTAAAAGTTGTTGGGGGTGTTGCAGGATGCCCTGATTCAGAACGCCATCGTCTCCCACATGATATTGACTCTCATGCATTTACAAAATTCACAAATATTTATTTTAAGGTTAGTTTAATCACATCAGTTATTGATGAATATAAAAATTTCAGGTTTTTAATTACAAGATAGTGAACATTATGACTTGTTTCATTGTTTGTAGTTTTGTATGTTTTAATCTTTGTTGTTACATGGTAAACTGGAAGTACTGGATACAAAGGTATTTAATCTATTCTAATTATAATTTTCAGCTCATTATAAGAAGGTAAAATATTTGTGTACTTCCAGTCACATCTTTGGGGAATGAAGCGTGAACCTATTAAGACACCTTTCCTGGCTAAGTCTAAGGATATGGATTACCAGGACTCGCTGGCTTTATTTAAACTGATACTGCGGTTTATGAACGACAACAATTTGAGTGGCAAGAAAGAGATTGCACTTGGAGACTACATTGTTAATAAGGTAAAGTTTTAATGTAGTTAGTAGTGATTTATGCTTCTACCAAGCCCTGTTGAGAGCACTATTTTTTTTTTTAGTGTTCTGTCTGACGACAGGTCCATACTGCCCTAATATTAATTTGTTTTTGTTTCCTTTGATTGTAAAAAAACTGTATGCTATTTCACGACATTTACTGTTCAGTTATCTCATAAATGTAATGTCCAAAAGTGGCAAGACTGTGAAGACTAATTGAGTCAAATAGACATTTGTTCTGCTACCTGTTATACTGTTACATTGTATGTTAACAGGGGATTGTTAATGAGAAACTACGGGACGAGGTTCTCTGTCAGCTGTGTAACCAAACTTGGAATAATGACAACGATGCAAACAACGAACGTGGCTGGCAACTCATGGCCAACTGTCTCTCAGTATTTCCTCCATCAAAAACTCTTTACAAATACCTTCTCAAGTAAGAACCTCATTTTAATCATAATCAGTCATATTTCATTATAATTTACTTTGCTGAAGTATTTCGCAGATAAATAAAATATCTGTGAATTAGGATGGCTAATCATAAAATAGGTTAATGTTTTTTTTCATACTATATGCCATTGATTGCAATAGAGATTAAATTTGGTATTCCTTAAAAATTACATTTTAAACAATTTCATAGGCCAAATACATAGTATTTTCTCTTTATTCAACTGTGCAAAGTTTATGGGTTTTCTGATTAAATCTTTGCAAAACCTTTTTATTATTGTATGAGAATACATTTATTTTATGCTATTAAGCCGTTGCATAATGAGATTTAAATTTACTTTGAACATTTGGAACAAACTTTTATTGTACTGTCTTGTATATTCTGTCAGATATCTTAGTATTGTGTACACAAATTTTTGTATGTTTGTTTACAACACGTTTCAACCTAGAAGAGGTCATAAATGAGAATACATTTATTTTATGCCATTAAGCCGTTGCATAATGAGATTTAAATTTACTTTGAACATTTGGAACAAACTTTTATTGTACTGTCTTGTATATTCTGTCAGATATCTTAGTATTGTGTACACAAATTTTTGTATGTTTGTTTACAACACGTTTCAACCTAGAAGAGGTCATAATCAAGTTTGTAGCTACATCTATGGTAAGAAATTTGTAAACACACATTATAAAAATTTGTGTGGGTGATTTGAAGATAGATACATAAATATTTGGAGCAAAGATTATTATTCATTGAAAAAGGTGACCTGACTCGATTACTCTGAATAGGTATGTGTCAGATCATGGGTACAATGGGTACAAGGCTGTGTGCCAGCGCAAACTACTTCAGTCATCCCGTATTGAGTGGCAGTTGGCACGTAACTACCCACCATGCCTGCTGGAGTGGCGAGCAAATCGTAAACGAGTCAACATGGCATTGCAAATATACTTTGCAGATGGTCAGTTCTTACTAATCATATGGTAATAATTAGAATTTAAATAAAAACTTCAACATTTAAAATAAATGAGCTTGCTTTTATTTTCTGACCCATGTAATTTCAAAATCCAGTGAGATGAGCAACGTCATCAGTTGGAGAATATTTTCAAATTAAATTGCAAAAATAAATAACCACTACAGATGAATTTACATAAAACATCAATCTGTCGTACATTGAATATAATAGTCCAATCTAGACTCCAATCACAGATGGGATGAAATTGTAATGGATTTTAAAATAATAAAGTGAGAGTTTGTTACAGTGTAGTAGTTTTTCAATTTTGAGATCTCTTGCTATCACAGATGGAGATTGCTGCAGCTCTGTGTTGTGTGATCTTTTTTTATCCTTGATTCTTCTTACATGATTACAGGTGAAATGGTCAGTGTGCCTGTGGAGTCATGGACTGGTGCTGAGGAGCTTTGCGGTCGAGCTGTTTGGGAACGAGGCATTACTGAGAGCTTGGGCTGGACCCTTTGTCTCTCAACAGGAACTGACAATGTAGATAGTTCTATGGATGGTTTGATCAAGGAGATAAATGGCCTGGACTACGTTCTTGACTTGATAGCAGAAATGGAACTGGCACCTGCGTTCCCAGCCTGTAGAAGCGGTTTCCTCCAGTCAGGTGGATACAGCAGAGGCCCCAGGCATGTCAATAACAAGGTAAGGATGTATATCTACTGTATGAGTAGTTTATTTTTTTGAAATCTAAGTACTTTAGCCTTTTTTTAATAAGACACTATAAAATGAAGATATATGCCTTTGATTAGTGTCATCCTGCAGATTTTCCTGCCTCAGAAATACAGAATACATGCTGATTGTTTACATATAAGAAAAGGTTTTACATTAAGTCATCTTTATGATTATTATGCTCATTATTTGGCCACGCAGTATTACAAAACACATGTTGTTTGATTCTTTCCACTGAACTGTTGGAATAAAGCCATCATTGTAAATTTATTTTCAGACTGACAAATCAGGCAGTGACTTTCATTTAATTTCTGTCTTGATTACCAATATTTTGTGAACTGTGGGGCCCATTTCTGCACTTGGCAGGTGCTGCTATCTGTTCTCTATATTATGAAGTATTCATCATATCCTTAACTGGTTGGAACAAAAGTTATGTAATCAAGTGAACTTTATACACTCCATAACATTTGTATTGCTTGCATATATTGTGTTTGTTAAAATCAAATTAAAATTATTTATTTCCTAGATTTTAAATTTCTTATTTCCTCTTCATTTATTGCTACTTGTATTTTTGTATCTTGTTTGTCATTTGTATTTATGACTTTTTCTATTTCCGTTTACTCTTGTTTTACATATTTATTCTGTAGTTCTTGCTCGCATAGAAATTGACCTACTGAAATGTCATTGTGTATAGAATAGGAGGTAATGTGCAAGTAGCTGAGATCTGTGTAGTGCGTAGTAACCCAGTTGTTTCAATCGCTAGGTTCCGTCGTCACCAACAGCAGGGGCAGAATTGGAAATAGAGTCAGATGTACCTGCTCCATCATCTCCTCGTAGACCAGTGGTCCCACCCCCTGAACCTCCTGTGGTTAAGCAGCCTGTGAGTATATTGTGTATGCAAGTTTTTAGTTAATTCATGCAAGACAAGAATTACTACTTTTCTGCAGGATATGTCATGAACGTATTTTTTTGTAACAGGATCTAGATTTTTTCCTTACCGAAGAAAGTAATAAGGTGGTGTAACAAAGGTCTGTCACCACACATTATTCACATTGCATAATGCAATTATTGAACCCACCAAAAATGTTTGCTTCGGTTTCATATCCTAATTGCATGAACAAGGGCAGCAAGATTAATTCAGTTTGTTCCATGAGGCCAAAAGTTATTTTGAATGATACACAAATTTATGACTGTGACTCACTTTTTTCATTTCTTGTAGTAAAAGGAAAGTAGACTAAAAATCTATTCTTGTAAAATTCCTTTTTAAACATTATTTTAAGATTAATATAAGAATGTGATTTCTATTCTTTACCAAATATTATTAGCATGATTAAATAAAGGAGGATAGGTTGAGTAGAGCATGTAGCATGAATGAGATCAATGAAAAATGCTTACCAAATTTTAGTGCAAATCCTGAATGGAAGAGTTAATAAGACATTCAAATATTTTATTCCAGCAGGCAAGAAAAGTATCTCATGAAGTAGTAAAAGATGTTAACCAGTGGGGTGAAAGCAGCAAAAATCACAGGGTGAGGTCACAGTCACGGGATCATACAGTGGAGAATGCTCTGTCACGCAAATCAGCACTTAATGACAGATACTTTGAAGATAAGGGACGCAGTAGGAGTCTGGACAACCTCCTGGAATCGGTCAGTTTTTTTTATGAGTAATTCTATAGTGTGATTTTTATTAAAATTATCTCTGAAGTTCATGCCATGAGTAGTTCACTTTGAGTAATTTTGTGTGTCTACACACACACATTTTTCTTGTTTATATTTCAGGAAATTGTAATGAAAACATGTATTTGATGAATTTGCAGGAGTTACCAGCGCCTAGAAAGTTGGATAGCCTGGGTCTGTCCCAAAGCAGGCTGAATGAGCGATATCACTCAATGGAGAAGGTGAATGCCAGCCACAGTGATGTGTCTATGCTGCTAAATGCTGTAAGCAACAAAGAGTATATGACGAAGGCTGAAGCCCTGCTGGAGGAGCAGCTGGAGTCAGTGTCTCAAAGAGGAGAGAGCAACCATCGCAAATACAGCCTTCTGGATAGCAGCAGGTATGCACTGTTTAGACTGAGGCACAGTAAGGTACTGTAAAGTATGTCAGGCATCAAAATCACTCTGTGATGTTTCTCTGATGAAAGATATATTTTTGCACATGTAACTGGATAGACCTGCTCTGGGGCCCACCCAGCCTCCTATTCAATGGGTACTGGGGTCCTTTCCCGGGGGTAAAGCACAGCCAGGGCATGATGCTGACCACTTACACCCATCTAGTGCCGAGGTCAGAATGAGTAGGAGCTATACCTCCACTCCCCCCAAGCGCCTACATGGCGTATGGTGGGACAGCGTTACATTACTCTCATGTAACTGGATGTATATTGGTTTCACTTGTTTCTGGTAACCAGTGTGTTTCAATAAGAAATGGCATGAGGCATCTTCAGAATATTTTATCACGCAACATCTGCATCAACAATTCTGGTGCTACTATGAGCTTCAAGTTTATGGACATCATACAAGCAGACATATAATTTAAATACATAAATAATGCTAGTATCTTATTTCATGTTATATAATGGTCTTTTGTAACATATTGTAGAGAAATACAGTTAACATTTTTGTATGTATTGATGAAATTGTATAATAATTATTACGTCTTCTTTTACCATTTCTAGGGGAGGTGATCTAAATTTAAATGGGCGTAGTCCATCATCAGGCGTTCTGGACCAACTACCATCAGACCTATTGGGTGGTGGTAGCAATCATCGGGATGATATGGATTTTGATTATCCTGATTTGGCAAGTCAGACTCGCAGTGAGGATGACAAAGGCAGCTACATCAAGGGTCATCCAAGGTGTGATTCTTTAATTTTTGTCTTCTTAGTGAAAATGGAGGAATAGAATACATTCCATCACTTAACTTTTAATAAAGTTGCTATTATTTAGTTGTAACTGAGTACACTTATATGCCATTAAAAGAAAAGTAATAAATGTTCTCATATTGTAATACACAGGACTTCAGATTTAATACTTGCATCTACTAGCCACTTTAAAAGTCCACTCACTTGTATGTTTAGATTAAAGCTAAATATTTTCCCACCATTAGCCTCCATTTGTTGCCCATGGTGACAGGGCAGGTGTATTTCTGACATCATGCTTATACATATACATATTCACTTGCATGGACGTGGTTGCCTTCTTTTATGCTTACCCTGAAATTGTCATCTGCTAACACATTTGCTTTGGCATAACGTTTCTATTCAGTTACAGAACATAGGATGTCTTCTTCTGGATGGAATCAAATTAGGAACAGCAAGTTCTGAAAATGAAGTATTGTTCAAAAAAAATTTTGTTTCACACTGGTAGACTTGTTTTTTAGATTTGCTTTTTCATTCATACAGGTTTATCAAGTCTCAGTATGCTGGCAAGAGGGCAGCACCAGGGAGCCATTCTAGTCGAGCATACATAGAGACTCGCAACTCAGAGAAGTCAGACTATGGAGCTAAGTCCTCTGCTCTGTCAGATACAAGTGAAGCTCCATCTCTCGGTAAGTCCATAAGTTCTAGGTGTCAAGTAACGCTTGCATAGTTGTGCTCAAAGTGAACCTAATTTTGGTTATATGTATGTTTGAACCAGGAGCAGCAAAACAGTAATAATAATCGCATTCGTCAACATGTGTATGGAATGATTTTTCAAAGCCATTTTCATGCCCTCATTTATAGAATAAATGGAAAAAGCTGCGTAATTTTATCATGCTATGAGTTTGATGGTTTGAATTTAAAACAAATGATTTCTTTGCAGCATCACATGTTCGTAGAGTGCGTGTTCCCTCACAGGCATCAGATGTGGACCAGTTTCTGGATGACCTGTTCATGCCAGTACTGGATGGTAATTTGGATGAGCTGTCTGATGCTCGTTCACTGGCTGCATCCATCAAGGGTGGTGGAGAGTTGAGTAAGAATGGGGCTGAACAGCAAAGAACACGTAGACTGTCTGATAGCAGCAGTCTGGTTGATGATGAGGTGGCTACTCTTACAGGATCGTCTGCTGCATCAACACTCAGGTACATGCAACAGAACTGCTGCTTATGCTTGTCTTCTTGGTTGTAGTGCCTCCATCATCAGGGCACTTATCTCCCTGATAATTATAATGGAGTTAGCCAGGACCTCTGAAATGGCGAACAACATAGTGCAACAACCCAGAAGTTACTCACTACTGTGAGAACCTCAAATCCTACTATGAAAGTTTACTGTTTATGTCTCATTGTTCAAGCAAAGTGAGCATGTATGAGTATTTGATTAATTTTTGTGTTGCAGGTGGCCACATGGTAGAGATCAGTCAATGGAAAATGTTGATGACTACATAACTGACCTTTTCAAACCAATATTTGTGAATGCCAGTTTGCAGCGCCTCACAACAGCAGTGACGTTAGCAGGAGCTATCAAAGGTGGTGGAGGAATGGATTCTCACCAGGTGACTATTACTTACCTTATCTTACAGTTTAGATATTGTAATTTTTTTATCTGTCCTTATAAAAATATGTTGGAGTATTTTTACTGGCAAAAAGTTCCAAATTTCAGTGATACATTTTTGACTGTTTTTAATGACATAAAATATCACATTGTAGAATTTTGTGGAGGTAATACAATGTAAGTGTTAAAGAACAGGGAAGAATTAAATTAAGAAGTCTGCTTTTAGTGATTAATTGCATCTTGCTGTAATATAAACTCTGAAGTGACAAATAAATGCATCACCATGTTTTTGTGTTTAAAGTTTCACATCAATTAGTGTTTTGCTTCCATGAATGATATGATTGAGAAAGGGAGTAGCTTGAAATGTACATAAATTAATAACATAATTTAGAATTGTAGAGGTAATTTCACTGGCCTTCTCTGCATTAGGTACTGAATTACAAACCAGCTGGATTGAGTGCAGATTTTTCTGCGTTCCTGCCTCATCTTTTATGATTGATTGATAGAAGTCTGTGAATTTTATGAATATGATGCCACATTAATTTGTAGGTTTCCTCTCCTGGCCATCGTCTTTATTATAGTCACTATCATTCAGAGAGAAATGGATGTCTGACCCATACCCTCTCCCAGCAACATGATCAAGAGATGACACCTGTAAATTCGAGTGTAAATAGTTAATCTCTTTGATTCTTTAAAGATCTGTGACAGTGATTTGTTTATTATTTATTTAGTGTTCTGTCTGACGACAGGTCCATATGAACAGGATTGTTTATTATAGGAACATTATGTTGGAAAAATTTGTTCAAATATACCTCAGACAATGGATGATGTCCAACATAATGTTCCTGTAGTAAATCCATTTGTTTGGATCTGTTACCTACATATATGGTCTGTGATGACCTCCCTGGTCTCTGCCCTTCTAGGCAAAGGTGTAGAATCCATTTCTGAGGTGGTATCACCCATGGGTTGGATTTTGTTATTGTCATTCATTGGTTGATCATGAAAATGATGGCCAGCACCGGGGTGATAACACTGATGATGGAAGTAGTAAGCACCTTAGTATCTCCCAGATTGCATCGTGCAACATCCCAGAAGGCATTCATATTTGTGCTCATTACCACAAGAACCTGAAATCTCACAAAATAATCATTATTTTCCAGACACCTCAGAGTCAGACGACCGCTGCATTTGGTTTTACACCTATTGCCAACATGACATCACCTACCCCTGTTATGATGTCAGGGATGATGTCCCCACCACCTATGATGGTGCCAACTATCCCTGTTTATGCTCCCGCAGGTATCTTGTTAACACAATATGTTTTTGTGGCGGTTTTATTAAAATGGGTAGGACATGCAGTACCCGTGGTATGGATGAGAAATGAATACCACTTGGGAGACCTAGGCATGGATTGGAAGGGTAATATTAAAGTAGATATGAGAGTGTGGATTGGATGTATCTGGCTCAGGATAAGGTCCACTGCCAGGCTCTTGATAAAACAGTGATGAACTTTTGGGTTCTACAAATGGTATGGAATATCTTGTCCAGCTGGGGACATCTTGCTCCGTGGAGTCAGTCAGGTAGGTTGGTAGGTACTTAACAACATTGTTTTAGACTCCTTTTATACTTAAGAAAGGAAGAGCTTGCAAGAAATCGAAAGGGAAATTCTGCAGAAAGATGAGAGGGTGGAGACTTCATCCATTGATCTGTATAAAATGGAAATTGTACCAGAAGAAGAAGAAAATTATTTTTTTCTTGCTATGTGTAGTTAGCGTTGTATTTCGAGTAAAGGTCTGGCTTCTTGTATGTTCTATTTTCTGCTTAATGTGAATGAATATATTTCTGTAAAACTGTAATACCTGCTTGCAAAGCATGCATGTACTGTTTGTTTATCCTATATTGTTTTACAAAATATAGAAGTTTAGAGCTCAGATTATTTACCACATTAAGAACCAAATGGCATAAAGATGAACTTGAAAAATATGGACAGTATTTAAATCCTCTGTAAATTTTCCTGAGAATTAATCCTTACTGGAAATTTTTGTTTCTTGTCATGATGAGTGTGTCTGTGGAACTACATTTGCTGATGGGACCATTGTGCATCCCCCAGATAAAATATGGTTGAATAAGGAGCATCAGTGGAATGATATTGAGAGTGGAAAACTATATCCTATTGTGACATTTTCTACCACAAATCCTACATGGACTGTCCTGGGAGTAAACCCATGGCTTTGTGGTGAGAGGTCAGTGACTAACTGTCTTCCTAATTTTAGAAGTATAATAAGATTTTTTATTTCTTTTGTTTGAAAATGATTGGGGACACAGACAAAATGGCTACCTTATGTATTTTATTCATGTTACCTAGAAGTGTTAATTGTATCTGATGCTGATATGCCAGCCACACAGATCTGCATGTGATGTTACCAAGTATAGCAAACAGAAAATGGTTCCTCTTTATATGTGTATTTAATGTGGTAGATTTTCTGACCCCTTAAACTTCACATAGCTTTTGTTTTGCGTTACCTTCCTGTTGAGTGTGTTTTAACTGTATGAACTTGCCTAACCTGGTGCTTTCTGTATGTCCTGTGTGTTTGTTTGGCTGTCCTGTCTTATCATCGTCCTGATGGCTATTCAGCCCAGTCATCTGGTAGCTTAACATACATGGGGCCTGCAGGGGGTATGGCTGGTGCTGCTCAAGCTATGGCTGCCATGCCACAATTCTACTCAACTCCAGTGTCTGCAGACCAAGCTGGTTTCATGCCAATTCCAATATACAACATGCAAGGTACAGTAATTACTTGCAAAGTTGTAGACTACAAGCGTTGCTTCAGTATTTAGTCATTCTGTGATTTCTGAATATCAGAGCCCCATAGTTCAAGGCTTCAAATCTGCTATTCCCATTCGATAAAGCATGAAACAAAGACTGAATTCAAACTGGTCAAGAAGTTTCATAATTCCAGTGAGTTTTTCAAACTTAGTGGACTCCGAATGTAAATCGCCATACTGTGCTATCCCATTTTATCAACCATTTAGATATAACAAGATTTTCTTTATTCTGTGTACAGGTATGAGCCTTCCAACATTTCCAACACCAGGACAGCAGCAGGCAGGTTCTGCAGGAGTGGATCCAGCAGTAGCAGTGTATCAGCAGAACCTGCAGCGTGCATTTCTGCAGTCAGCAATGGCACAGAACATTCAAATCCAGCAGCAGCTGCTTGCGCAGAATCAGGCATTGCAACAGATGCTTGTTCAACCCACTCTGACAGCCCAACAGCAAACCCCAGTGAGTACTCATCCTCTTCAGTCCATCAATACACATGGATGAGTTGTCCAGACATTGAGGCACTCCACACAAATCAGAAAGTTAAACTATCACAGTCATTGGAAGCAAGCTGTACAAAATTCATTGAACATATTTTATATTATTTAATTTACCCTTTGGCAACTGTGAATCATGGAAAGCATAAAATAAATTCCATTTTTCATGTGTTATACAGTTTTTAACTTAAGTGGTATAAAATGTTTGTCTTATAAAAATACCAAATCAATGAAGAGTATAATGTCAACTTACAAATTTCTTGTTTTGTGAAAATTTGTGTACATAATTTATTTATGCAGATGAACAACTTTTTATGATGAACAGCAAGATATTTTGAGGTAAAACGTACTATGGATAATGCTTCGATTACAGTATGTACCAAACAAGGTGGTACACACGGCAAAGGGATCTAGGAGAGGCATTGGGCAGAACTGAAGATATTCACAAGGCCTGGCATGTTTCTATTATAATTAAAAATAATTAGTTACACTGAAAAAAGAAGATTAATTTTTGAAATTCATTAACCTATGAATTCATTAAACATGGAATTAATGTATACTGGATACTGGGGACGACCCGTTCTTCAAGTGCCTGAGCACTGCGGGTCCCAACTTTTCGTTGGATTGATGTATAGACATTCGGTAGGACTCCTTGGACGAGGGATCGGCCCATCGCAAGGTCTCTACTTGTACACAAGACAGCTCAACACAGAAAAACGCAGACAAACATCCATGGCTTGAGTGGGATTCGAACCCACGGTCCCAGCGACCAAGCGGCACAAGGCCCACGCCTCAGACCGCGTGGCCACTGCGGACCCAATTAATGTATACAGAAATGAGAATTAGTTGTTCTTTTTGTAAAAGTTCTTGATTTGGTTTCATTATTATTTTTCTTGTTTCCTGTGGACATATATTTCCCCATTGCAAATTATGCACATTATTGGTGGTAGCTTGCACCAGTCTTGAAGTGCTATTGCATGCGTACCATTTTGCACCTTTTGTGTGTGCCATGAATCAATGTGATGCAAGTTTTTCTTCTCTGTGGGATGCACATATACTTAACCAAATGGTGACATTGAGGAAGCTAACATTTAACAGTTATTTCACAGTGGCATGATCCTGGATTTATGCAATTCTGTTCATAAACAGTGCTCTCCAACGTCTGTTGGTGCATGGAACACCAAACGTCTTATTTCTCTGACATGTTTTAGTGCTGTAATTTGGTTAATAATAAAACTCATTCTCACCATAAAGAAAGAACTTTATATTTTAGAAGAATATAGATTCTTTTAAAACACGAATTTTAGGATTTGTTTTTACTTTTTACCTGAGAATGCAATGATGTTTTTATATTTCTTTATTACAGTATTATTAAATATGATTTTGAAGAAGATGTGCAGCTTCAGTCTGTAGATAATCTGATGTTCATACATTTATAAATGAAGATGGTAAAATACGTAGACACTAAATCATTTACACTTCATGCTCCTCAATTAACTGAATTTTTCTAACACAGATAACCAGCCTAATAAGTTGTACGTTAATAACCTATAACAACTGTAATTTAATTTTCTTTGTATGGTTAATTATTTTGTTAGAACTATATCAATCTGAGACAGATTGTAGGAAATACTCGAAAATTCTGTTCATTTTGGAAATTAATGATATGGCAGAATGCTTCAAACTTGTGAAGACATAATCAGCTCGTGTTTTGCGTAAAGGTTTCCATTCCAATATATGCTCTAGTATAGTGATTGTATAATGGTAATTTATCTTCAGTTACACTTTCCAGCTGTTTAAATAATTCAGTTGTTAAAACTTGGTAAGACATTTGATTGTACAAAATTTTCCAAGTGTCCTCGTCTGTTTGTTCCTGAAGTTTAATTGTGATATCATTTAGTTCAAGGCATGTATAAAATGGTTCAAGGTGAAGATGGATAGGTTTCATTTCTCTTCTGGCTTCTGTCTGTGAAAGAGGTGACACGTGTCGCACGATTATTCTAGGGTATGCACGTGCTCAGCATGTCAGGAGCTGCTCCTCCTCCTCCTCTCTCTCACCAGATGGCAGGGCTGATGCAGCCCCCAACATTTGATACACTAGGCAGGAACTCAAAGGTACTCTCTGCATGTTCTTCATCCGCTGACTCGTCTTGAGCTCCTATTGCCTTTCACTTTTCGCCCGTACTTCCATAAGCACTCTGAAGTATGAAGTACCTATGTTATATGCCCTTGTCTTAATTGTCATAATTTGTAGGTTTGTTTTCATAGTTTAACATCCTACACTTTTTCTGTGCTACTTGTAATCATAATGGATATTACAATTATGCAAGCCATGATGCTTGGTCATTATAGTGATTGGCCAAGGGCTGGATAACGGGTTTGATCCGTAGCAGAGACAGATTTTTTTCTTTTCCACCATATATAAATATAATGAAATATTACAGGCTGAAAATTAATTTGAATTTGTTTCATTTTGAAAACTTAAATTCTGTTGTTATGATTCTTTTATAATTTAAAGGATTTCTTACTTGTCTTACATACTGTAGAGCATAACTTAAATGTTTCCATTCGTGATGAATACTTCAGAGTGTAATTTCAAATACCATACTAATATTTTCAAATTTTATTTAAATGTAACACATGTACATATTTAAAATAAATATTAAAATCATCTGCATTCACAGGGCACAACTTATACTGTACAAAAGTTAGAATTACATCTGTTTAGTACTTTTCCTGCATGTTGTCACTTTGAAATGCATTTCAGAAGCTTTTTGTTGTGACTGAATAAATTATAATTTAATGGGTGAATAGCTGAGAGAATGAGATGGTTTTACTGTTGGAGGTATCCTTCAGAGAGCCAGAGAATGGTGAACTGTGGTCGACTGAGAAGCGAGGTGGTTCTAGTGCTGCGATGGCACCCGTCTCAACAGGCATGCCACTACAACAGCAGATTCCTCCCCCTCCACTTCCTCCCAAGTCCCACTTTAATCCAGCTTCACCATATCAACAACAGAACCCAAATTTTGTCAAACATGAAACTACAGTCAAAGCACAGGTAAATTCAAGATTAATCAGAAAATAGCAACCTATCTGCATAATTAGTTAACATAATTAAAGCATTGAAGTCCAAAGTTAGACTAGGTAGGAGTTTTAATCTTTCATCAAATAAAGTAATTCTCTGAAGGAATGACGGGTGTTGCAGTAAGAGTCAAAAGCAAGAAAATGGCTCCTAATCAGCCTTTCATTGAACAAAAGAAGTAAAAGAAATTATTTGTTAGTTTGTATTAAGCCACATTTTTAACATTCATAAAAGTGAAAACATTAACCGTTGATTACATTTGAACAGAAAATATGTTCCAAACTAATGTAACAGAAGCAATTTCAATGCATGATTGTATTACATTTAATAGGTATAGTGGTAATGTGCTTATAAGATTGCATGATCTGGTGGTGATTAACACAGTTACAATATTTGAGAAGAGGATTGATTGCCTTACTATAGGTTCATCGTTCGCAGTCGCCTCCAAACCAGCTGCGTCTATCTCCCACTCGGAAACTCAGCCCTACCAAGACTGCAGGTTCAGGCAACCCTCAAGCAGCTTTCACTAATGTGCTGAGTGAACTCAAGTCCAGGAGAAGCTCCACAGAATCTGGGTACTCAAACAAGGTAAGCAGTCTTCGATGTTAATGTGTGTGTTTAGTGACTGATTTGTCTTTTCATATCTTACCTCTTTTCCTGTGCTTTGTGTAGTCAGTCAGTCTGTCAGCCAGCGAGCCAGCCAGAAAGTTAGGTAATTCCTAAAAGAATATAATTTTAAAGTAAAAATCAACTAACTGTGTATTAGATTATTGCGTGCATGAATAAATAAAACTCACAAAAATTGCTGGATGTTAAATTTACAAAACACTTTTGTAGAATCTTATAAGTACTTAAAATTGAGAAATATTCCCATAAGTGTTAAAATCATGCAACAAAACTTTCAACAGCATAGAAGCCATGCAATGCAACATACAATTTCAGTTGCAACACTATGCGGACCAATAAGAATGTGAGATTTCAGATTCTCACAGTGACCAGTATGAAGATGGCTGTCTTGTGGGTTGTTGTGCTATGTAGTATGGTAGATGTTTACAGACACTTCAGAGGTGTTTGCTACTTCCATCATCAGGACAGATATTGAAATTATATTTATAAACCAAATCAGTAAGAGAATCACAAAGTCCAAGAATAGGAATGGTTATATTTTGTATATTTTAACCTAGCTGAATTGTTTATTGCTATATTAGTTGTTTTTCCATAGCAGAGAATTTTTATACGAGTAGGTTTTCTATATTTTTATTACTTTAACAACCATTGTTTTTATATTATGGTAATAGTTTTGGTTTGTGTCTATGCTTACAGATGAATTCTTCTGGAAATGCACCCCCTCCTCCCCCTCCAATGCCCCCACCACCTGAACACATGGATCCATCAGAAACACGCCCCTTCCTGGATCCTTATGGTCGAGCCAAGACAGTAAGAATCGGCAAGTGGCGATGGCCTCCTCCTAAGACGGATCAAGATGAAAGTTCAGATAGCTTTCTGCAGTTCAAGATGAGACAGCATCAGCGCAAAACAACGCCACAGCAGCAGCTAAACTCACAGGTTTGTTTAGTACTCAACTGAAATAGATGCTCTGGAAATTTTGCTCACATAGTTTTGTCAAAAGTGTTCATGCATTACTTTCTGTAGTTATTTCTTGTATAAATGTTGTCATCATTATAGCATCATGGTCAAATAGTTATCATTTATCATCCTTTCCCAGTTTATCATTTGCGATCATTCTCCTATTCATTTTAATTAATAATTTCTGCAGTTGAGATTAAGTAAACTAAGAACTAAATAAACATTATTATTCATCATTATTATCATTGCCTTTTGATGAAGTTACAAATAACTTTGCTTTTAATTTACAGCAGTTCTTAATTCCAGATCTCAGCATAAAAACTTGCTCTTGTCAGTTGATATGGATATGCATGTCACTGTTTATATGCCAATTCACCATTTCAATATATAACATTTATTTTTTTAATTGTATATTTTATTATGTGTTTTTCAGTAATAATTTATTTCAGACTTATGTGGTTTCAGGTACTGAATCTTGTTACATAACCTACAAAGTCTAAATTGTTGATTTTAATGACATATCATTTAATGTATCTAGTGTTCGGGAGGGGACATCTAGGTAGCTATGAAATCAGAGTCAGTGCAGTGACATTAATGTAACAAAAGCATGTTCGCAGCAGAGTTTGAATTTGCAGCTATTCAGAAGTCTGGCTTACATCTGTTCTCTGACATGAACTTTTATTTTCAATTGTCCTGCCAACTGAATTATTAGATGTTCATGAAGATACATTATTTCTGCAGGAATTTGGTGAGCTGTCAGAAGGTATTGAGTGGGAAGAATTTGAAATCACTGGGTCACCTGGTGCTGCCAGTCATGAACGATCACCACCAGCCAATGCAGGAGTAAGTAGGAAGGATAGTCGATCAGGGAATGCAGGTCACCACAGACTGCTTGATGGCAAAGACAAGAATTCTGTAAGGTGAGGATAATACAATACATGCGATTTTTGTGTGTGGTTGGTAACATATACAAAATTAGCCGTTTTATTAATGAAATTGTTTCCCAGGTCATAGAAATAACAGTAAAATGTTGTAACATACACAATTTTTATGTCATACTCTATTTTTTATTTACGTTCAAGACATGTAGATGTACATACCACTAACATGCAGTTTGAAATAATGATTTTATTTAAATGAGAATAAACTTCTGTTTACATTATGGTCAACAAGCATATTAGAAGAACCTAGTGATGGAGGCATGAAGTATTTAATGAAATGTTTGTTATCTTCTACAAGAATACATGGTACAGTATTCGAGAAAGTTGTCGTCTTTATACTTGCCACTGTGAGAAGCTGAAATCTCACAATTTAGTCATTCATTTGTGTTAATTGATATGCAAGAGTTTCATCCAGTTATTTATATCTGTTATGTTTTGTACTTGTCTATGACATGTATTTTGATGTTTTCACAGAGCGTTTGAAGTTGGGGCAGCTCGCCCAAGCCCAGGCAGCATAGGGAAGCTGCATATCAGCAGTGAAATGCGAACAAAACTTGAAATGGTCACCGCCAATCACAGTCTCAGGTAACTATAAAAGACATAGTCTGCACAAACACACTCAGTTTTGTCTGTCTTATCAAGAAATTTATTAGTTCAGCTTAGCGTTGGCCATAAAAGTGAATGTAAATATTTGTAATATCTTAGTAAAATAGGGTTGGGGTGTGGATTCGACTCTTCTGGCTCATGATATGGGCTGGTGGCAGGCTTTTGTGTACACAGCAATGAACCTTTGTTTCTTTCAAAATTCATTTTATTAACATAAATATGGCATTCTGTGACTAATCTCTCAGAACTGTGTATGCATTTCTTGTTAATATAGTGATTTATTAAATGTAAACGTGCCTTAAAGCTATTTTAATCTCTTCTATACACACCTACATTTACTCCACATATTATAACCCTGAAGTCCACACTCAGAAGTACAGCAGTGTTATGAAAATATATTATGCATGTTGAAACAGTGCAGAAGTAGCATGTAACTAATGAAAATCTGAAATTCTGAAGGGCAAGCAATAAGCCAGAGAAGCCTGGTGTGATCCCCTCAAAACGAGATGACTCATCTCCACCTAGTCCTCACCGACCTGTTAAAAAACTGGAGGACAACAGAAGATTGATGCTGGAGCAGCAGTTGGGTAAGAACAGGCAACCATTTATATAAATGTGCACAGATTAATTTAATTTTATTAAACTGTGATTAATTCCAAACTATTAGATCCACTGAAAGGGTCATGTATCGTCGTGCAAGAAAATGGAAGACAATTTGTGAGGCTCCCAGTTGAGAAACTCTGATATATATTATCAAAAATTATATGTTTATTATTTTCAAGAAAAGAATGTTTGCTGTTTCAGCTTTGTGGAACATTATTAGCTCAAAAATGCTGCTATTACTTTCATGAAGTTACAAAAAATGTACAAATGAACTTCTGTTATGATTTATTTTCCATCAAAATATTCTATTATATTATTGTAGTCTTAATTTTAATTTTATAATATATATAGTTTGTTATTAGCATTTGTTAGAGTTAATAGAATTTATTACACTCTTTGGTCCTCATGATGAATATTAGTGTACTTAGTAATTTTGTTTGATGGACTATTTTTAATAATGCAATTTGGAGTAAATAGTAAAATGTGTTGAATTTTTGTGAAAGAAAACAAAATGAAGAATTAACATTAAACAAGATCAAAAAATTTAATTTTCTGCAGCTGGACGCTGGGATTCTGTAGACTCTGTTGACATTTTAACATCAACTCCACTGAGGGGTGTGAGCAAAGAGGAACGTTCTGAAGTGCAGCAGACAAACATCGTCCGCAGTCAGGTCAGTGAACCGACTCTAACATCAGGAAGTTATTTGTAGACTGGGAACCAGACGTCATGAATTATGTATAAAAGGATGGGACAGCATTTAAAAGACTTGTGTATTTTACCCACATCACATCCTTAACACTGGGTCAATGTTTCTTACCAACTGTCTTCAAGTTTTATGTAACCTTTGTTGGCTGTAAATCGTGGTTTATGTGCAGTCCAGGCGTTCGTACATTGCAGTAGCGTGCCACTCAATTGTTATATCCGAAGATAATAATCTGGCTGGCAGCCCTATAGTACAGGGGTTTAAATCTCCTATCCCTGTAGATAGAGGTTGTGTTAATGCAAATTAGTACCTAGTAGCTTTCCAGAAATTTATAAGTCTAATTATCCTACCACATAGTAGCTTCATAATCTTTATAATAATAGTTAATTTGGTTTGACTTTATTGTTAAATGCTTTATCTTGGAGCTAGTATATGGTTTTTTAACAGGTAGAACGGATGGAAAAAACCACACCACGATTTGAAGATAAATCAGCTGTGTTGAGCAGCGGTAGTGCTTGGGATAAGACGGGTATATCCAGTAGTGGTTGGGACAAAGTTGGGATGTCTGGAAGCCCATGGGACAAACCCGGTATTTCTGGTAGTGCATGGGACAAGTCTGGAATTATTGGTAGTGGTTGGGACAAGCCAAGTGGATGGGATAAAGCCCCTCTATCTGTTGGGAGTGGCTGGGGTGAGAAGCCTGTCAGCAACAATAACAGTGGCAACTGGAGACCAGCTCCACCCCCACCTCCAGTCACGCCACACTTCATAGAGACATCACCGCCAGCTGCCTCCAGAACTGGCAGCTTCTATTCTCAAGGGTAAGTGTGTGTTTGATGGAAAACAGGTCATGTGCTCAGAGAAAAGCTTAAAGGCAAGGGGAACAAGAAGACGGTAACTTCATGTGCATTTCTCTTGAACTCTGTAATGAAAGGATGGCACAGACACAGTTTGAAATGGTTTTGCTGGAGTTACTTATTTAGCTCCAATTATAAATTCATCATAAATACCACATTCTTCACTTTAAAATAAACTATATTGAAATAATGAAATTTCTTATTTATTTCAATCTCAAAACTGTACATTACCATTGCCCAGTGTTTTGTATTTAGGGTTAGGATTGCTTCATGCATTGAGTAGTTACCAAGTAAGAGAACAGCAGTGAACATAGATTACTTTCATAATATTAATCTGGTTATGGTCCAGTATTAACCATACAAAAAAAAGAGTAATAGGGAAAATGGTATAAAAGGATTTTATGTTTATGATTAAAAATAAACTGTAGCAAAATAATTGCATTAGTGTTTTAACTACATTTATTATGAGTGTTGCTTGTTTGCTCACACTTCACAGTCAAAATACAGCATTGCCCCAGCCAAGGTCACCCCCACTACCTATCCAGCCCGTGAAGACAAGTCGAGATTCAGCAATGTACCAACACAACAATAAACAACATTCCAATGACCATGATATGTTTACCAATGCATATAACAGTAGTCAGTATCATCAGTTGTCACAGCACACAAATAATGCGTTCAGGGGGAGGGACATGTTTGAACAGTCTGGAGGTGTGGCAAGAGTAGACAGAGACTGCCGATCGTCTGTCTCGACACATCTGACCGATAGAATGGAAAGGATTGAGAGTGAGTAATGTATCTCAGTCTGTTATTGTCATTATTTACAGATGAATTATTTTTGTGAGTCATCTCATAACAAAGCCTTTGTCCAACATTTCCCGTCTTGCCACAACCTTTCCTCAGGTCCAATAAAACTACTATCTTGTGAACATTTTTATAACAGATGTTTTCGTATACTTCATTCTATTTTTTGCCATCTCTGTATACCTTACACCTGTAAGTAGGGGTGTGGGTATAAACTACAGGCTCCGTTAACTAATCCTATCAATAACTTCGCTAGAGATCCCCCATTTCATTGTGTATGGATTTCTAATTGTACTTTCTTGTGCTCTGTCAGTTGAAGAATCTCCAGAATTTCTGCAACCAGTGGACATAGCACCTCCTCTCATCATGGAGCGGCGTGACCATGGCAAAAACCTGGAGATGGTGAAGACGAAGCTGTTTGGGCCTAGTAGTGCAGCATACTTCACATACAACAGAGTTACCTGGAGACTTTGTGTCAGGAAGGAGGTAAGTTCATAGCAAGCTGAACAAGAGACCATTATGAGATATTTACAATCTCCCTTCAGCTCTCTAGATCTAGACTCTGTTTATGTGAGAGATGTCTTCCTCAAAAATGGCTTATTAAATAAAAATGAATTTCCAATTAGTTTAAAGACAATAATTAAAGGTATAAATTAGAATAAAGGAAGGTAAGTGTGGTACATCTTTATATTTATTTATTCTGTATTCATTTGTCTTGGGATAGGGACCAGTGGCAGGCTGTAATTGACCTCTTTGGATTCATAAAAGGCAGGAAATTTTGATATTATAATAAAGTATCACTGTTGAGGACCTTTTGTCATTTCATAATTATCAGTTTCTTTTGGAACGTGGTTGTTAATGTTATTCATAACTGATTCTGTAGATCAGAGATTTTTGAGCAACTTGTAGTTGTTCAGCAAGTTCCTGCTCTTCATGGAACTCAAATTTGTATTAATGGTTCACAAGAGTCTGACACTGGACCCTGTCTTGAATCAGATAAAACCATTCTAATCTACACATTTATCTCATTGCATTTGCAGGTGTTTGCGCCAGGTGAGACACTGGGCAGTCCCTTAGCACTCCATCTGGTGTTCTGCCAAGTAGTTCAGGATTGTCTTTATCCCACCAACTGCATCAGAGTTAGCAGAGAACAGCGTTCCAAAATGAGAAAGGTACATCATTATTTCACAATTTGTTACAAATTTTAGAAAATAGACATATTTACTCACATTACTGGGAAAAGAGGAATTTTCTCTATTCTTTTGTTACAGCTGCTGGATAGCTATGGAGTGACAATAAATAATCTTCACTCCTCACATCAGAAAGTCACAATCAAGAAGAATATTGTTGACATGGCAAAGGACTGGCCGTTATACTTCTCTCGCATCTTTCCTGTCTCAGTAAGTTGAGTGACATGTTACATTTATGCTGGACTTGAACATCACACCTTTGCCACTCTAGTTCAAGAAGATTGCTGTCTTCTGGGTTGTTGCAGCATGTAGTTTGGTTGAATATTTCTGACATTTCAGAAGCGCTTGCTACATCATCAGATTGATCATCACCCTGGTGAAGGTGGCAGCAAGCACCTCTGAAACATCAGTATACTTTTACCAGGCTAAATGTTGCAACAACCCAAAAGACAGCTGTCATTATACTTGCCAATTTGAAAACCTGAAATCACACAAGTTATTGTTTAGCTATGACTTGATCTTTTTTTTTAGAATAAAATAAAACAGTTTTATGTAACGTTATCAGAAGCACATGCACACGTACAGCATTCACTACACTGCAATCGTGTTTTTCTCTTCAGAAGCTTTAATCATCTCGTTATTTAGGGTGGGCATCAACATCCGGCAGTCCAGCAATTGGCAATTTCACACTCTGGTGTTCGACTTGTGCGTCGAGAAAAAGGGCCTATAGAAGATGCCCTGCAGGTGCTGGATGCATTTAGGTAAGGCCTATTAAATATAACTTACAGATTAATTTTAGATGAGAAAAATTTGAGTACTCAACAGATTGTGTACTCTTCATTATATTTCTCTGATTATTTATCTTTCTTCATGGATCACATCCTAGAATTCTAGTGTTGAATGCAGAGGTGCTTTTGTGGCATCTGCCACCATCATTTTCTGTGTATCTCTAGGTATGTGTGTTTCAGTATGTGGTCTTAGCATTGCACACTACTTCAGTGTAATTTTATTGTTTTGGGACATTGTGAATGTTATTCTATTGCCTGTGAAAAACCTTGCTTTCAAAATTTGTTAATCTCATTTTTTTTATTCTGGCATAGAAAAAAGCCATGGTCACAATTTCATTGACTCAACAAGTGTTTTTTGAGTGAATTGGGTGTCATCTGTTTGTCTGAATGTCAGTGAGTGTAGTGGTGAAACTGATGATGTACCATGCCCTGTCCCCACTCATTTCTTCCTCCTTGGTTTAATCATACAATTAATATGTTGTAAAAGTGCAAATTATGAAGCTCTTCATTATGTAATTTTCTCCATCCTGTCTCATATGTTAAAATATTCTCCTCAGCACTTTATCAAACATCTTTATATTAATGCATATTGAGCAGCTGATTTTCACACCTATTAAATGGCTATAATTATAGTTTCTATATGTAATTTGAGTACAGAAACCTTCTAAACATTTTGCATTTTGGTAAATAAGTCCATTACTTAACCAGTTTGAATCTTTCTTTCATAATTTTAAAGGAAATGTTTTTAAGATAAATGCATATTAGAACATGAGGTCTCAGAGAATGGTCGAATACATATGATAATGGAAGATAAACATGTGTTCTTCGTGTGTATTACAAATTGTCTCAGAGGTGACAGATGCACATCTATTACTGTTTCAGCTTTGAAGAAATTTCTGAAACTTGTGTGCCAAAGGGAAGTGCAGTACAGCTGGTGCTAACATCTGGTATCCGCTTCTTACTGTACTCACATCGAGCTAACCAGATCCATGCCATGATAGAGAAATACTGCCTTGACAATGAAAAGGTAGGAAAACAACTTTATTATTTTGTAAAACTTGAGGTTCTCACAGCGGTGATGACGGAGGCAGTATGACCTCTGAAACGTTGGTAAACATCGACCAGACTACACAGCGCAACAACCCAGAAGATGGAAATCTTCAACTTTATTATTTTGTCTCGTTACACAGGGATGATGCTATTGTTTCAGCAGATGAATCTGGACTAGACAAACAGAATGTCTCCAGCTTAGATCTCAGTCAGGATGTGCTGTCATTACTAATATCTTATGTTTCAGTCTCCTTAAGTTTGCCATGACAAGTTCCTTTTACATTTTTTCCTCATGTTTTAATACAGTCTTCCTCACCTTTTACAACCTTTTGGTCTGTATTTGTAAAGTCTTTTGTCAAATTTACTTTTCTTCTATTCACTGTAAATGATTGAATCAGTCACATATAGTCTACCATTTTATTTAAGATGTCTAATATTTTAATTCACTGATTCTTTGGTTTCCAATATGATCACTTCTAAATAGCTTTTAAGAACCTCTTTTTTTAAATACATTAACATGTCTCATTGATCAGCTAAGAGTTTAACATTTTGTTCTGTATAATAATGTGATAGTATAGCCATTGGTTCGTGAAACTTTAAAAGAATATTTAAGACCATCGGAGGACTCTGTCCTTGTGGGCCAGAATACTGTGACACTTCCCAGAGATCACAAATGTGAAGGTCACAGCCTAAGGTTACAGTGCAACGTCCATAACAGTGAAATCACCATTTTCACATCAGGACATGAACATAGGTTTAATTCACTCTGCAAGCATCAACAGGGAGGAGTAGGGTCATGGCGTTTTGGTTTTCTTCTTAGAGTCTGCTATAATTGGTAATTGTAGTTTTATGATTAACCCAGAAATGTAGCATCTGGCTTGTTTCTGTTGTGTGTGCCTTTGTTATTATGTCGTCTTCAGTGTACAGTCTCTTGTAATGTGACATATAACCTTGATCTTTGACCCTAGGAAACACATTTGTATGTGTCAATGGATACTACAGTTTAATTAATATTTAGAAAGCAAAAATTTATTTTCCTATACATTTTTTAACTTCAGATGCCTATACAGGTATTTGTAAGAAATTAGCACAGTGAATTACAAATTGGTTTTACAATATCAAGTAGTTGTTTTACAGATACCAGCACTTTGTAGCCATTAGAAGATCAAACTTAAGATCAGAAATTTTAAGAATTGAGATTGCAGTCTTTTGGGTTGTTGCTATGTATAGTTCAATCCAGAACATGGAGAAGCATGTTCCACCAAAATGTTTATATACGGCCACAAACTACATGACCCAATAACCCAGAAGACTGTAATCAAATTCAAACCATTGCAAAAAGTTCAAGTTCTGTAGTCTGAGAATGTAATCTATTGTTTAAGGATTACAACTACAAGGAGAATATTTGTATGTAATGCCTGAGCGTGGGCTTTCTGCTCATTCACTGCATGGCTGCTACATTTTTTACTTGGTCAGCTAGGACAGTGAGTGATGTTTACTCTATCGAGTCAGACAGTCTTGTTTAAGAATTCCTTTGTGTAGGATGTGATTAGGTTTACACTTTAGCAGCAGTTGTTTTCATATGAATCTTTTGAAGTTTATTTCTGCTAGGAAGAGTCAGAAGAAAGTTTGTCAGTGTTCAGGTTCCTAATAGAAGCATTATTCAGAAGCACGTTGGAAAACAAGAATAACTAGTAGGTTAATAGACAGAAAACCAAACATATCATTATCAAATATTAACAAAATAAAAGTTGGGTGATGTCAGAGCTCATCTTGAATGCACATCATAAGTCTCTTTGAATGCCTTGCACAAGAAACAAGAATATCAAAAGGCACTGCGAGAACTGTTACCAATTATTGAAACTGTGGCCTTACAAGAAATGTCATGTGGAAAGAAAGAGCAACATAGGTAGAAATTGATGTGGAGGAGAGGCTGTCTGAAGGCAGAGGAAGAAGGAGAGGCTTGGTTGTCAGGTGACCCACATAAAGTGGAAACATCTTAGGAGGAAGAATTTTTCCCGTTTGACAATTGCATGAAACAGTTAATGTCAGTGTTTAAACTAAAAGTAAATTGCAGGTGTCCAGTATGATTATACCATTCCTTGAGGCAGTACTGGTTTTGAATAGGATGTTGTTTCTGTAGTTAACCTTCACATACCATTCAGTAGAACTTTGATCTTTTCATTTTGTTGCCCATCTTGTTATTCTGGTTTCAGTTAAAGGGTGAACTGTGTTGGCCTTCATTTAACTATATGGATGAAGCCAAATAGAATGTGCAGTTACATATCACTAGAAATATGACAGTTTTACTGACTTGCATTTATAATACCTATTTCAGCTTTGTAGGATTTGAGGTTATGTCAGCTTGTAAAAAAATATTACCAAAAATTGCAAGATAATTTTTTTCTATCACAGCTTACTTTGGAAGAACAAGAAATGCACAAAGTATTTTAGTGATAAATTCTTTGAACAAATAATGAAGCTTGCTTATAATATAATAATTTATATTTTCCTGTTGCTTCCTTTCTGTTGGGTTCAGATATTGTCTTCAACACTTAGTTCACAGACACCCAGTCTCTGTTCCTCCTGTGGAAGAAGAAGCCAAGTTGTACACTTATGTTAACAATGGGCAAAATTATAGTTTTGCATATTAATCTTTGCATTTGTAGATAGAAGACAGGAAGACATTAATTCTGAACTGATTTTAAGTGGGCCACATTTTATAAAATTTATTAGCATTTCTTATATTATGATTTTGCCCTGATTTAATTTTCACTATATGAAAATATAACTAACTCCTGCCAAATCCGGAAGTCAAACATTCGACATTCCAAATAGGAGACAAACACTGAACATTGATGTTGGCTTCATGCTTTTCAGTCTTCTGTAACAGTTCTAGGTTCTGCCGTTTAGAAAGTTCATTTTGTATAATACGTGTATTGAAACATAGTCAGTGGTATGTTTGATGTTCCAATTCTTTAAACACATTTATAGAAGTCAGACATGCAAGTGCTTTATGGTGTATGTGTGCACAAGGATGCCTAAACACATTTAAATGGTTAGCAGTGGTTACATTCCCGTTCATAAGGACGACAGCTTCAGCATTTGCTGTTGTAAGTACTCTTACCACCTAACTGTATGTGTTCTTAGTATTTCAAAGAATGATGTCACACTTATTTTATGTTGAATATGTCAAGAGTTTAACAACAGGCATGCAATTTGCCCTCCTTCAGAATCATTTATATTTAAGTTAATTTAAGTTTGCTCTCCAAATAATGTTGGTCATTGCTGTTATTTTGTGCAGTAAGGTACTTTTAGGTAGACCTTTTGAACTTAATTCTCCTTCAATAATTTTAGGTGCGTATTAAAACCAAAACAGCATTTTGCAAATATATCAGCTAGTCATGGATTTACGCCTAAAATAGTTTAAAGTTAGCTTTAAAATATATCATTGGATAATAAATTATCATCGTGGTTGTTATTGTTAATTTAAATTTGGAGCATGCATTTGCCTATGCATTTCAGAAGTTTGCAGACATCAACATAGACCTATAATGACAATTTTTTGGCTATTATAAACAAGTATTCTACATACCTAGCTGTTGAATGCATGAAAATTGTACCTGCACTGTCATTACTCTAATTACCCTTCACCAAGAACCTTGGAAGCATTTGTCTGTAGCTTTACAGTGGGCTTTTTCTTCCTTTTGGAGGTCAGTTTTCATTTAGTACAGCACAGTGAGATTGTGTGCAGAAGTGTGAGGCACGTAGTCACTAAAGCTATAAATGGGAGTGGTAGAAATTGACTGAGACGAAAGGATACTAGAATGGACTTTAGAGCGAAAAACTTAACCTGCACTACATACAGAACATTACAATAAAATGATCAGTTGCTACATATTTTCATAGTGTTGCGGTTCTGCACACAAGAAAGAAATTCTGAATCACATGTAAAGATGTGTTTTCATGATATAATTGTGCAATTTTCTATACTGTACCTAATAATATTATAGGTTGAGGATTTAATTATTTGATTTATCAATTAAGGTATGTTGTTAATTACTCCACACTAAATAGACTAACTTAATTTTTAATTGGCTTGTAACTTGTGAAGCTTTAATGAGATCTAGATGTAATAGTAGTTTACAGTCAGTGCTTATCACTTTACGGTGATTCAGTTTATGACAGTCTTCAGTGTTTTGTAATTAATTATGTTAGATAAAAATTTCATGTAAGTTATAGGTTGTGGTCTTCTGGGTTGTTGTGTTGTGTAGTATTTTGGCTGTATGTCAGCATTTCAGAGGAACATACTCCCTCCATCTTCAGGGTTGAAGTGAGTAGTATTAGGAAGTGGGATCAAGCCAAGGGGATTGGCCAATCAGAGCCATGGGATGAGGAGGGGAGATCAAATCAAGGATTAGGCGGTGGCTAGGACATGTCGTGTGAATGGGAGATGTGAGAAATGCTTTTGAAATTTTCATCAAAAAACCCAAAGGGAAGAGACAACATTGAGAACTAAGGTGTATATGAGAGAACAATATTAAAATCGATCTTTGGGTTTGAAGGTATGAATTGGATAAATCTGGCTCAAGATAGGGACCAGTGGAGCTCTTGTGAACACTGCATTTAAACATCTTGTTCCATAAAAGGCAGGGAGTTAGCTGAGCAACTGTTTGTTTTTCAAAAAAGGCAATACTTGTTTTGCATATGGAGGTGAGCTTGTTGGTTATGCCCCATTTTTTTGGCAGGTTTTCGTTGAAACAGTATGTTTTGAAAACTATATTTTACTTTCATACTATTCAACAAAATTCAGTACATTTTTTAATATGTCTACATAAAAATGTTATGCATATTATGGATTAGTAGGACACACCTGACAAGTTTAATTGGTATACAGTATTGCAGTCAATTCCATCAACTTTTACTCACTTAGGTGGCAGACATGTTTCAACTCAGTGGAGCCACCTTCAGTGCACTTAAATTATTACACAGTCATGTCTGTCACAACCTTTCAGTTCTGTTTTTTTTTACAATTATTAATTGTTCAGTAATGTTTTAGAACCTACTTCAGTGAGATATGTTACTTTTTTACAATATGTACATTCAAAAGAACAGTAGTCTAATAACGTTGAGATATTTAGTCTTGTGTTTCTAAAATAACACCACCAATTTTCTGTAAAATAAACATTACACTTTTAAGGTCTCTAAAAATGGAAGAGATAAGCTTGGTGTAAGTAAAATACTTTTTCTTTTTTTTAAACTGCCTATAATCTGTTACATACCAAGTCCTTCTATAATCTGTAGAAAGTGCAGATGTTTAACGATGCGATACAAAGTTACACAGTTTTGTTGTTCTGTGTTCCACTTGACTTCCTATGCTGAATTACTCTGCTTCTGGTTTTGTGTAAGTAATTCTCTTGTTTGCATCAAATCAATTTCCTGCTTGGATTATCACACTAAACAACTTTTCCATAGCCATCTTTTAAATTGCAAAACAAACAAAAAAATTCTTGTGAAACTCAGTATTAATTCCAATGTAAATTAGTTAGATGTGAATAATCTAAAACTTAAGATGTTTTGCTTTGGTAAGATAAACGTATCCTATAATAACTGTAGATGCTGCTGTTTTTTTTCAATTAAAAACAAATTATACTTTGGCCAATATTACTGACTCCAGTATTATCAGTAATACTTTAACACTGTCATTTGTACTCTTCACCACAGGGTGATGAAATCAAAGATTGTCAGGTGGGCTGGGGTTATAACACATGGGAAACAAGAAATACACGCAAAATGGAAGAGGCAACTTGTGAGACCTAGATGAGGTGGAAGAATATTAAATTTAATCTTAAATAAATGAGGTTTGAAAATGTGAACTGGTTTGACCTGAATCAGGATAGAGTCCAGTGGCAAATTGTAGTAAAGCAGTGAATTTATTCACCTGTTGAGTAACTGGTTAGCTCAAGGAGGATTGTTTATCCAGGAGTGAGTTTGTTATAGCCCTTGTTTCACATTACATTTAATTTTATTTCTTAACATATACCTGAAACTTTGAAGGTTATTCTTTAACCAGTATTCATTGAGTTTATTTGTGCATTATTGGTAGTGGCATGAACTCTCCATTTGATACATTAATCTTAAACAACCCAGGAAATGAATATGCATCCCCTATTGCATTTTCCTAATTTGGTACATTATTATACTGTGTTTCTGTTAATCCTCACTGAAGGAGTGATTTTGAACTTACATTTTCCATTTTTATTCAGCAGTATTTGAAACCAAATTTCTCCTTTTCAACCTTTAACTTATCAGTAACTGTAAATCCTATCTTGAAACACATAATATGCCAATTATAATTTATATGAGGTCATACGGTAAATAATTATTTAATAACAACTAAGAAAGCCCACACAAACTGGGTGTTATATATTACTGGTCTTATATGTAGGTAAAGAAGCCAGTAACAGGAGTCAAGTAATCACAGCAAAATGTTCAAACGGTACATGAACATGTGGTATGACTTTTTGTTTGAATGAATTGCAGAACTTTGAGTCATTACTTTACAATTGGGTCGTACAGTTGTACGTTTGCTTTGATCTTGAGTGTACATTATGTTGGAAATATAAGTTAGTCATTCAGAATTATCTTAAAGCAAAGGGAATATTGAATATACTTTAATATATATTGTCACTGTTAACATCTTATGCCCCAGTTTATTATCTGTTACTCATTTACAGTGAATCAGTTTTTATTTCTCTTTGATTGAACATTTTATGAGTCGGTAGAATTAAATTTAATGAACTTATGGTATTTGAGGTTATAATGGCAATAAAAATTTAAATTGTGGTCTAATGTTTATAAAGCTGCATAGTTTTTTAGGTGCTTTACAATGTTCAGGTGGAACCTACTACCTCCATCTTTAGTGAAATATATTCCTTGTAAATGTTGATAATCACGTGTGTCATGACTAGAACCAGTGTGGGTGCTTTCTGTTTCCTGAATGCAAAATATAAATTCAATTTCTAGAATTACTTTATTCCTGTTTTTTAATACATTGAGACCATTTGGCCAGGTACTTACTCCCAAGTTCTTCATCAGTCTGTTTATAAAAGACTGAAACAATAAACTTAGCTTTGTGTAGCAAATGTGAGGCTTTTAATCTAAAGGATCAGTGACTAACAACAATGACAATTGAATAGGAAGGCGTGGGAGCAGGTCTTGCCTTTGTTGTTGTTCTCACTCTATATGGTAATCATTTATGAGTCTGCACAGCAAAGAGCGTGTACTAGAAGGTCATTTGAGTCAAGGTTACACAAAGCAATCTTTTTGCCCAACCAGAGCTACTGTTTTGCATCACACATACAAACATACATGACAGCCTTCCATAACTCCTGCAACTCCATATCCTGTTGCAACAAGACCAGGCTTAATTTTAATTGTCAGCTTTTCCATGGAGTTAAGTTAATTAATATTGTACCTTTCAATCTCTGCATCCTCTGTAGCTGGTGCCTCATAGTTTGATATTTGAGAACAAACACAGTCTATTTTTATTTTATCCACAAGTCAGTTGTATAAAAGAGTAACACTTGACTGGAGACCTACATTCAGTTCATTTACATTGTGACTCATTGCAGGATTAGAATTTCTTGAGGGTGATGTATTTGCTTATAGCCAGTTCAGAGATCTTGCAATGTAGCTGCAGCAATTAACTTGCAAGATGGTGTAAATTTCAACCATTGAATGATTCTGACTTATTATTTTGACCCTTTGAAGTAGAAACTAATCTGAATAATTTCTCTAAATTATGTTTTTTCCCACCAATATGTTAAATGTGGCAAAAGAGTTAAACTTTGTTGGAGTAATGACAGGTTAAATAGTGTCTTCTCTTTGAATCCTTCACCAAGGCTTATAACTCTTAAGTAATTGGAAGTACTGATAAAATTATGATGTCATTTGTACCATATGGAGATTTTTCATACCTAGAAATAGAAATTGATTTCAAGTGCTGTATTCATACTTTAAGACTGTTTATTACTTCAGTCACAAAACTACAATTCATTATTATTGCAGTATGAGTTTCCTTAGTTGTTTCATCTAAGTTTATTTTCTTTCCTGGCATGACAGAAGCTGCATTCAAAAAAGGAGTAAAAAATCTTGTAAGTGCAAGCGTACATGAACATTACAAAGAATATAGGCAAAACAGTCTGTGCTTTATTCTAGAGGTGGCTTACTCACTGTTATTTTTACACATTTCCTCCTCCTGTTTCAATATTCTCCCTTTAGACTTCATTTTTTGCTTTTTATACGTACTCTTAGGAGATTGGGGTTTTGAACCCTTGCTCCCTCTTTTTGAACAAGGTAACGAGTTTTTAGATTTAATTATAATCATTTAATTAGCTAAGTTGTTATTTTTAAGAATTTGGTGTTAGAGCTAATGGAACATCACTGCTAGTAAGGCAGTTGGTTAGTAGTTCAGGTATAGCTGTGCTGTAGTGGAGCAGACAACATGCAGTACAACACTGTTGGTCACGCTGGATACTCACCATTATAAGCAGCAACAGATGGCTCATGAAGCTGCCCAACCGTAGCTACATTAGTCATCATCAGCCGTCAAGTAATATCGCCATGACATGACATCTTTTCTAGTTCAATCTTTGCTTCTGTCTGCTATGTTGCTTTCCTGCTTTGTGTTCTCCTACGTGACTGCCTGCCATGCTGTTTGCAGTTATATCATTCACTAAGTAAACATGGCAAACAAAACAAGTTGTCTCCCTCTACGTACACTTGAAAAGCTTGTTCACCTTTTATGAGTAAGTAAGCAGACTAATAACTGCACTTCTAATGCTTTTATTGTTATTAGGTAGTAATATATACTGATTCACATTTTGTGATTTAACTGCTGGTCAGAGCATGAGTTTAAAATAAATGCACTCGTTTGCTTACATATGGAAGATTCCACTTTTGTCTCAGGCAAGTCATTGACTGCCCTGATCAGTTTTCAAATGACCAATTCCTCTACTATCCTTTCCTTTTGACCATACATAATTATATCTTCATCCCATTTGAAGTTTAGTAGCTTTTTCAATTCTTATATCACTGTTAATATACTAACCAAGAAAATTTACAGTAAACATAATTCATGTCATATTTATAAACCTCAATTGCAATATCTGCTCAGGATTTTCAGAGTTTTGTTTACTGATTGTTTAGCTCAGTTGCCATTTTTCTTGAAAGAAGTAAGTGGCTGGATTATGAAACTTAAGAAGAAGCAAAGAAAAGGAAGATTTAAGTTGCAAAAAAAAAATTCAAACAGCAGAATAAGCTGATAGTACCTTAGTATTATAGTTAATTTGCAGAAGTTATCCTTGAATTTCTCCAAAGACAACTAACCACCTTCATTGGAATGAATTTTTTTTTAACACAAACAAAAGTTTTCTAAGCATGCCATCAATAAGGTTAGGTCATTTGTCAATATTAGCAGAAGGATTGAAAGGGAAATTGTGTGTAACAGTTGCTTAGTTTATGTAGTATAAAAAATAATGGCTCAGTGATTATAAATGCTGAATTGAATGGAATTTGAACAGTGACTTGTCACCTGGAGGAACTAAGGATAGAAATCTTTTCAGAAGATAAGAAAATGATGGTATTAAATGTTTGTGTACTGTAAGGATAAACTTATCACCAGGAGCTTTATAATAGGGGCAGAAATTACGAGCAAAATATTTTCAGGACCTTAAATCTTTTTCATTAACAGTTATCTTACTGCTTACTATCTTTTATAATTATAATAATATTTATTTAGATATGCTATAAAACATGCCTGCTTGTTTATATTATTCATCATGCATTTTAACTTCAAAAGCATGGATAAATATTCTCTATAGTGCTAATTCAGTAACACATTTGTGAAGGACAGCTAGTTTCTGCTTTCTGTAATGATTATTACACACTTACAAAAATATTTCTTTATCATCATCATCCTTTGCTTTTAGATCTGATGGCCTTGCTGTACCTTTCTCTCTGTTCCTTCCCACTCCTCCACTTCATTCCCCTATCCTTCTGTCACTCTAATCCCCCTTCTACTACTGCTAGTAGTAAGCAACTGTTGTGGTTTTCATGGTTTGCATTTCTTAAAGCAGTAATAACTGAAACACGTTTTGGATGCTGTTTCACTACGCTATCTCTTTTTATCCTTCTGTCTGCGTACAGCAGTTTTCTAACAGGCTCCACTGATGCAGTTTATTGGCACATCATTAGCACAGGTGGGAGTGAGTGTTGCTTGTGGATAAATTAGTCGTCTGTTATGTCTCTAACTGTGAAGTTATCTTGCTACAAGTCACATGGCAGTGCAGTTCTACTTCAGCATACTATGTTTGTTCTTCAGAGGAGGACAGATATTGTCAGTTGATTGGCATTGGATGTTAACATCGTTAAGAAATTGTTTGGTCTCAAAGTGCAGAAACTTAGGTGTTTATGTTCTTCATCACATAAGATCTTTAAACTTTTGTAGAACTGAAGTAAGTGTTGCTGTGGTTACGTTGATTTCTTCATGTTGTATGACTGCTATGAAAACATTGTTTAATTTGGTGCGTGTTATCCTGTGATTATGGAGGGAACAACAGTGATCGGAAATATTATATATGTCAGTGTCGATATGTTTGGATACATACAAATGACTGTTACGGCTGTCATATCTGGGTGGAAACAGTTTTAAGCCTTTCTGCTCTCTGTGATACTTTGTACTCAGGACTAACTTTCAGAAATAATTCCAGAAGTAAGCGTCTGTGACATTAGTTGTACAGCTTGAGAATTGTCAGGTGTTTGGCTGAGGAATAATCTTCTTGGAGTTTGGATTTAATGTAGGTAGGACAGTGTGTGATATGAGCTGCGTAATTATTACTCTGCAATTTATAGTTCAAGTCCTTTTTGTGGTAACAGTACTGTCACTTATTGTTCTGATTTCATTAACTTTGCAGGAGTGTGATTGATGTTGATTCTGAATTTAACATACAAGAATATTCTTATTAGATTTAATACATTACTTTGTGTTGTATCTAAGAGAAGACATAAAACAAGTGAAGTTGACTGTGGGAATCAGACTATCCCATGTTGGAGGTAACTCATATGTGATTGGGATTGATGGTTGCATTTAGTGTCATGATTAGGAACTGCACGGTTTTTAACTTGAAATGCAGATGAGGAAGTCACTACTATAATAACTGGTTTCCGTAGCAGCAGAATAACGTGTTTGTGTGTGTGTATTGAACCGGGTTTCCGTAGCTGGTAGCATTATCCTATTATGTGGCTTGATGACCTTGATACACTCATTCTCTCAGTGATGATGCAATAGCCATATCATAGCAACAGTTAATTCTTGGGTGTTACAATAATTGCAGAAACGTGTGTTTTTTATTTGTTGTGACTGGACATTATGTAATGGTTCAGGTTTCTTTACTTCTGCTTAGAGTGTGTGAATACGACATGTCAGCTAATTTATTTTTATGGTGTGAATCATAAAATACAGAGCACACATACAGGAAGTCATGGTACAGTGAATGTATGCTCACTGCTGAATTCAATCTTCTTGATAGAAATGTAGAGCTGGTTGAAACTGGGAAATGTGTCAGTATGCCTACATTTTGTAGAAGAAATAAATGTTGGATGTTAGGCCCCATGAAGCATCCACCTCTTTATAGAAAGGAATAATTAAACTATGGAAAGAGTTTGATTTAGTTTTTATGTTGTTATAAAAGATATTCAAAATGCCAGGAGAAATGGAAATTACTGAAGAACCACATTCAGGGAAGAATGGTGGTCATCAGAAATCAGTGGGAGGGTCGCGAAAACTGCTGCAGCTGTTGCGACTCAAACCACTACGTTGGCGAAATAAGCAGACTGATCATAATAGCAGAAGGAAACAGAATCAAAGCCCAGATGAACGTCGTGATCAACTGGATAGAGACATGAAAAGCAATTGGGATCAACTTCCAGCAACTTTAAGGAGACGTAAAGAGAAACTTTCTCAAGCTGTGCTTGACCAATTCACAGAAGATGAAATTCAGCCAGACCTTGCTACTGACTTGAACAAACAGAATGGGGTGCTACAGAAGGTGTCAGATGATAGCGTTTATCTGGCATCTTTAGAAGGGATACAGCTATCAGCTGACAGACATTCAACAGAAGTTTTGGTTGTTGAAGAGAATTCAGCCAGTGCAGAATCCATGAGACGATCCTCCAACAATTCATCACAAATAATAGTGACTCCACAAATACACAGGGAATGCAGTGATTCTAGTCTAGACTGTATAGAAAACAAAGCAGAAGATTTAAGTGTTGAACTTGGTAATGACGATAATTTAGTGCCACCAAACAACCTAGAAGCAGAAACTAAGAAAGAGATAGAAATTCATGCAAAAACAGAGATTAAATTACAAACAGATACAAGTGAAGAGTGCAATAAAAGTAATATCGAAACACACAAATCTGCACAAACTGAAACACAATTCAAAGATTCATCAGTAACACAATTAGAATTAGAAAATATGACTCAAAAAATGGAAGAATTTACTGCTACATGCTCAAGAGAAATTACACTCAAATATAATTCTCAAGATGAAAATGTGGATGATGCTTCATCGTTTCAAGAAAAAGATGGAGTTTTGGTAATAACTGAAAATGAAAACTGTAGTAATGTGAGTGAAAATATTGATGATAATTATGATAAAAATGAAATTGTTTTATCACAAAATAAGTTGTCAGAAACATCTGATTTTAAAGGGTTAGATAACTATGATTCAGAAAGAGTTAATTCAGAAAATATAACTACATTTGAGAAGTTGTTGCTACCAGATGAATCATGTCTGTATGAATCTAACAAAGAAGATAAAAATACATCTGTTTTCTGTGAGACTCAAAAATCACCAACCAACTTGGAACTACCAGCAACAAAAGAATTCAGTGAAGAAGCTCACACAGCAAGTACTCCTTTAAGTGAAGAGGAACAGCAAATAATGGCATTATTGTCACGAGCGGTGTCAGAAGACAGTCTTCTGATTCCTTCCTCCCCTTCTTCAGCTTCAGCCAAATCAGTAACATTGTCTGTAGACGACGGAGATCATGACTCTGGCACTGATATTAATAGCCCTTCACCAAGTACATCTTCATCCAATATGGAGTCCAGATCCACATCGACTTCTAAGCTAGGTACAGACATTTTATCCCATTATAAACATCCCAGAAATGTAGTTAAATCTGTTGAGAATTCAAATGAATATAGAATGGTAAATTCTGACAAAATAATGCAGACTCCAGGAACAGCATCACAGGACCTTGTTACTGCTACAGATTCTGTAATTGAAAACTCATTTGGTTCTCAGTCCACAAGTTTTACCTTGCCACAAATTTTAAAAAATGACGGAAAATCTTCCAAAATTTCAAAACACAATGAGATAAATGCGCGCAAGTCCCCCGTTAATAATAGTGCCAACACCCAACCTTCTTCTTCTGGCAGTAACTGCTGTTTCTCTTCTGTATCTGATGATCCAGCACTCTATGAAGTTGTGATTCCTAGGGCAGAATACCATAAACCATCACCCATTGCTTTAAAAACTGCAGAATACCAAGTATTCAATGACAAACTTCCACATGAAATTCATCATGACATGTCAGGTTCTTCTGCCACTTCAGTGAATAAAGATAAACTAGCATGTTGTGACAGAAATAAAACACGGAATGAGCCAGTAAAAGCTCCTGTTAAAATTGAGTTTTTCAGGAGAGATGAAGAGGATGCTATGTCATATTATGATGC